TTTGTTTTTCAACATTTTATAATGAACATTTCCCAAAATACTGCATACACATCACTTAAATTCTACCGTTAACGTGGCGTTATGTTTTATCATATGATTATCTACTTTAATTTTTTTATATATTTTTTTTCATTAAAAGTTTAAATCTTCCCCCAGCTATCAAGTAATAGTGTGCTGTTGTTTTGAGAGATTTTTGATTAACAGAGGGGTAACTTCTGTTAAGAGGTTCAGAACAGTTTCTTGAAACAGTTCAGAACAGTTTCTGTGTATGGCCACCAGGTGTAGCTCTGGACCCATGGTGTCCTGCAATCAGCATCTGCAGGGAAGGTTTTAGTGAAGGCAACTTCTAAATGAAATGGGACTTGTTTTGTTTTTTAGGGTGAGGGAGGACAGAATAAATTTATCCTTCATTAAGATCTAAAATAATAAACCTGATACAGAATCAAAAACTGTTTCCTTGAAGGATTTCAAGGACTTGATTTAGGTTATATATTTTCTTTATTGTTCACAAAGTCTCTACCACAGTTTCTCTCACCTGAAATGAGACTTTTTTACTCTACAGGCTTTAGGTAACAATTTTTGGGTTATGCAGCAAATATGTTTATCTTAGCATCTATGTGAAATGATAATTTTAGGAAGGTTTAATTTAGTCATGGGCATGTAAATATTCAGGCTTTTTGTACAATGAAAATTCATCACAGCTATAAATTTTTCATAGTGTGATTATTTGAATAATGCCTATATCTCTTTAAACATAAACTCCATAAAGTTTGGGACCATACTTAGCATAATACCAGGTATTCAGGAAATATTTGTTGAATGAATAAATTGAAGGAATGATTTGAAACTTACTGTAGAAGGCCATTCTGTAACAATAGGTAAATCTACTCCTTAAGAGTAGATTTGTGCTTGTTTCATTTTTTATTTTCTTTTCATGATCAATTTTAAATAAACTTTATAGTTAAATATAGCTCCTAGACAAAAATATTTTTCTATTTTTAGTTGTAAAAAATAATATACTTATTTTTAAAGGAAAGTAGAGCCTAACTATATATTGAAATCCATTTTAACCAAAAATATTTTCTTTTTTTCTTCCCCTTAACGGAATTTTGGATTTCTCTCTATGTTAGAATATCATCAACTGTCAGTTTTTTTCTACCAACCTGGAAATGAAATCATTGAGGCAAAAATCCAACAGTGTGGTCAGGTAAATTAAACTGTCTACTGGAATAACCAGAAGGAAGGATTTTCTAATTTAAAGTCTTTTTTTTTTTTTTTTTTTAAAGAAAAGGCAGTTGATAAGCTGTATTAAAATACAGTTGTTTTTTTCATAAAATAAAATTATTCAGAGTAAAAGGTCTTGGAAGAATATTTATGTAAGTTAAGGAGGTGTCTTTCTCGAGGAATTTAGTGTTGTGTTTTTGAATATCTGATAGGATGATGGAAAGATTCATCAAGGGAAAAGACAAGAATAAATATTAGAGTCATTGTTTTTAGAATGACTTATTTTACGGAAAGGGGAGATTATATAAAAACAAGATCAGAAGCATACTTAGCTAAAGAATTAAATTATTGACATACTATTTTTGTTTTATCATTGTATTCTGCTTTTAGATGTAGTCTTTCAAGTGATAGTTTTATTGACAAGGAAAAATCGTTATGTATAGCTTGAAGGACTGGGACTTTGATGGTCTTTTCTGTCTTTCGTTTCCTTGAAAGGTAAGTAATGTCTATGTTGCATACCTGTGTTGTATACCTTCTTTCTTCTTCCTCTCTTTCTTCCTCTTTCCCCTCTTTTCTCCTCCTTAACCCCCTTTTGCCATTGCTAGTTAGTTTAGAGAATGATAATTAGTTGCTACTGAAAGAATTAAATTGCTGATATTCTGGAAACATAAAATATTTCTTGAAAAAATTGACACTAAGGGACTGACTCAAGTTATTAGCATCATGTTTTCATAACTGCCCCCAAATATTATGCAGATTAATGTTTTGACATTTATTTGCTTTTCCTTGAACGTCATGATTCATTTTTATCTGATATCAGCTCCATTTATAGCAATCAAATGGTAACTGCAAATTACAATTGCTATGACAAACTGCATATGAAAAATGCAAGCATAATTTTGATCATGATTATTGTACTTGCCTGAGTCATGGCTTGCATCATCTTCTGCAATCCAATTTATGATTCACAAAATTTTATTTCCACTACATCCTTTTCAACCCCCACATAAGCATCAGCCATAGAAGATAAATGTGATGAAAATGTTATAGTAGGAAAACCTAGATAATTTCTTTTGGGCGGTTATAAAAAATTTCAGAAGCACTTTCTTTTTCTTTAACAATAAGTTCTATTCCCTTCTAAATGAACGCTTTCCTCTTCTGTTTCATTGTGTTTATAAAGTCATGCATAAAGGTTATTTTTAAATTGATTATTAATTAATGAGCTTGACAAAATTGTGTCATTGTATTTTTGCAAGTTGGGAAGAGATGTGGTTTGTTGTAACATGAAAGTAGCACATTTAGAGTGAAAATCTGAGCCTGAGTAGCCAAAAACGGCTTTAATATAATTAAATACACCCTCTTACCCTGATATAACTGTTGATTTAAAAGTGTACTTTGGCTGTCATTTAAATCTATTACTTTCAATTCTCACCTTCTTTTGTGTTAAAAACTTATAAAGTCTGGAAATGTTATTTTGTTTCAGAATTGAAGGCTATACAGAATCAATTACCACAGTGAGTGAGGTGGGGTAGGTACCAGGCATTTCACCTGCATTATCTAATTTAATCTTCACAACAACCCTACAAAGATGTGTTACTCCTCTTTTACACAGGAGGAAGGAAAGTGAAGCATGAGAAACTAGAGTCTTGGCAAGCATCACATTTATCATAATTGAAATTATGTATGGGACAGCAGGATAAATGCTGAAGACACTAAGAGGTATGAGTCTTTGTCCTAGAAAATCTTCGGTATGGTTGAGGATAGCATATCTGTGGGGGGAAAATGAGACAAGAATCACTTTCTAAGTGCCATTAATCTTAAAGTGATATCTCCCAGCAAAAGTGAATCAATCTTGGGGTCATCAAAGTGACCTAAGGCTCTCTATCTTAGTAGAGGAGCCCAAAATGAAGTGCAAAGCCACTATTTTTGTGAGTCTGTTCACTGCCCATACATTCTTAAGAGGGTTAAAATGTAGATTATTTCCCCTGACTATTTTCTGCAAGTGGCATGGAAGGATAGCCTCTGTACAGGAAATTAAATGTTCTTACCTTAGATATTAAGCCATATATTACTTAACTACCTTGGTAAATGAGAAACTTGTTATTTTCAAGTTTAAAGATCATTTTCTTGAATGACTGAGAAAAAGATTCACTATATATGTAAAGAAATAAATTTCTGTTTCCATGCATATTTAATTTTTTATCAAAATGTTCTATTGTAGGAGGTATGGTCTCTTTAATAGAAATGGCTTGTAATTGAAGTAAATTTTTTAGGCTAAAACCATTGTTAGGGACCATTTCTGTAGAGCAAATATGGAATACAAAATTGACAGTTCTGGCTTGAGTAAGAGATTAAAGTCAGCTAATTGAGGGAAAGCAGACATAGTACATATGCTAGATAGTTTTTGTTTTCACTCTTTATTATCAAGAGTTTCAGAGAGAGAGAGAGGCATTGTAATTGACAGAGGCATTATTACATGTGGTGAGATTAGAAAGGAAGTGTTAACTAACCTCAGTGTTCCCCAAGTTTTTGTGTTTGTTATATATTTTTGATGAGTAGAATTTTTGGCAGATCATTTGATGGATTTGGAAGATGGATGTGATTTTTTTTCTTAAAGTTTTGGGAAATAAAAAATAGATGTTACAGTTATTATTATTACAGTTATTATTATTCATTATTACTGCTTAAAACTGTGGACTGTTTTGTCTTCATTCTCCTGTATACTCAAAGGCATTCAGTTATCACATGTTCTAGCAAATAATAAACTTTTTGGCCTCCGGTCGAATGCTGCATTATGCCTCTTATATCTAACTTAGAGCAAATTGTATGTTCTTTGAATTAATCTTGAATATAATCCATAAGTGTAATATATATTATTGTAACAGTATGTGTCCTTATATTCTTACTTATAACAAAAATAAATTTTGTGTGTGTGGTGGCTTACTTGAGAAGGGTTTGTGGTACACCAATGAGCTGTTGCCTATATTAAGATAGTCCTACATGGCAAGGAGTAAAGAGACCAATTGGTGCTGGGACAAAGGGACAACTGGCCTCTAGCAATAAAGAAGCTGGGGCCATTCAAGACCATACTTGCCTAGAAGTTGAGAATCAACTTCTGGGTAGAACTTTTGATGATGGAAGGATTCTGACTGCATTGACAGAGGAAAATTTGATTATATATGTATTGCTTTTTAAAAATTAATAAATGAGAGGTATTAAATTTTACCTTAGAATATTTTGTTTCTTTTCTTTTTTTTTTTTACTCTTTAATACAATAAACTTTTATTTTTGTTGGAGTCATATATTACTCTAGAGGTAATTTTCACTCCAAAAATATTTAAGTACAAAACCAAAACACTGGTTTTTAAAGGTGGTTTATAGCAGAGCAAGTTATCTTATATAAATTAATATCTTTTAAAAGTATATAATTTCTCCTTTTAAAGTGAGTTCTCTCATGCAAACTGTTGAAGTTACAGCAGCAGAGCAATCTCTGCTTTGTTTTGGGGTTGGTCCAAAGACAGGTAGAGTTCCAATGCATGAAAAGCTTTAAAATTCTAATTTAAGGAGAGTCAATGTCAATACCAATTTCCAAGTACTTTTAAGAAAACTTAAATTTTCATATAAATGCTGGAAACCTTAAAATTAGCCATTTCAAACAACACTAATTTCAGATGATCCCTTTATTTAGAAGCCCTGTATCTCTGTTTTGATCAAAAGTAGCCTTAAATCAAAAGTAGCCTTAAACATAGCCTTAAATCAGCTTATTAAAAAAAATATAGTTGTATTTTTTAAATAATGAATAAATATTGCCAGCTTGGAGAGACCTGGGGCACCCAATGTTATCTACCAACTGGTATTATCATTTTTCTACAAATGCTGCTGCTGCCATTAGAGTCCTTATGCTTCCTCTTGCTGAAGCCGTCAGTTCTTCAATCTCGGCATTTAATTTATGTATTACCCATTCCATTACTTCTCGGCCTTTATTAGCATTTGAAGATATGGTACTTGCCATCAGTCCTTCAAGGTAACTGCTAAGGCTGACTCCTTTCACAGTGATTATGGCTTCTTGAGTCAAAACAGTTTTTTCTGGGTCCTGGGGATGTGGTTTGTATATAAGTCTCTCATCTACTGAAACCATATTTGTAAATGAAATATTAGTAGATTTAAGTTCCATTGTTTTCTCTACGGGGTCAACTACAGAATGTTCTTGCACATATGTTTTGGTTCTTGCTGCACCAATAAGAGACTTCACAATGGAAGGCACCCCACTCTGTGCTCAGAGAGCTAGCTGTGCAACTTTCCGGAGGGATCTACATGTCTGTCCAAGACATCAACTCCCACCACACCCGGTTCATAGGGTTTGGTATTCCTGCATTGCAGCTGGTGAACAGTTTCCCATGGGTGGTCAAAGACATGCCCGAATCCATCTCATAGTGTGGGCGCCCGCGCGATGCCCGGGCGCATTAAGGGACAAGGAGGCAAAGAGGCTACACCTGGCCCCGCCCCACACTCAGCACCTTGGCGCCTGGGCCGGGGCCCTACGTGAGGGACGTCTTGAGGCGCTGCCGAATATTTTGTTTCTTAAAGTTATATTTTTATAATGCTTACTTTTCATTACTATAAGTATGCATATACATTGAAAAACCTAGAAGAATGGAAATAAGAGGAAATAAAATACGCATTTCAATCACCTACAAAAAAAATCACTTTTCACATTTTAGTGTTTTCTCTTCCTTTTTTTATGCACAGCTTTTTTTTTTAAAAAACCTATTATGATATTGAATATATAATTCTTTTTGATTAAGACTATTATAGCTATTTTTTATATTATAATAAAGTCTGCACAAACCTTTTAAAAAATGGCTTTAAAGGTACTCTTTTAAGTAAATATGCCATAGGTCATTTAACTTCGTGAATATTGTTTGTTTAATCATTCTGGAAGTTAGGAGGAGATAGCAGGATTAGGTTAGTTGGGTGGACTGGAAGCAGGAGAAGGTGGAACAGAAGTCTAGATTCCAAACTGTTGAGTTAATGATTATTAAAGTTCTCCGAATTAATAGAATTTAGAAGCAACTTAAAGATCAAGGTCCAGGACAAGATTAGCAAAAACCATAATGTTCATGCTCCATGGACATTGACAACTGTCTGCAAAATCCCCCAATATTAAGAAATCAATACACTTTCAAATAACCCACAAGTCAAAAAAGAAACCTCAAAGGCAAATTAGAAGTATTTTTAATGAATGAAAATAAATCATAACATCAAAATTTTCAGAATGCAGCTAAAGCAGTGCTCACAGGGAAATTTATTGCTTTAAATAGTTATAATGTTAATAGAAAAGAAAGAAACTCTAAAATCAGTGATCTAAGTTTCCACTTTAAGAAACTTGGAAAAGAAGAGCAAAACCCCAAAAGAAGTAGAAATGAGGATGATAGAAGAGTGGATATCAATGAAATAGAAAGAAAGCATGATATAAAAATGTCAGTGAAACTCAATGCTGGTTCATTGACAAGATCAATACAAGTCATAAATCTTTAGCTAGATTGATCAAAGAAAAAGAGAAGTTATAAGTTACCAATATTAGATATGAAGATAGGAACAGAACTACAAATCCTACCAAAATTAACAGGTTCATAGGATTATATTATTAACAACTTTATGCCAGCAAATCTAAATATAACCATGTAGATGAAATGGTAAAATGGAAAAATTCCTTGACAGACACAAATTACCACAACTCTCTTGAAAGAAATAGAAAACTGGAATAGCTCTATATCAAATAAACAAATTGAGCTCATGATTCAAAACATTTCCACAAAGAAAACTCAGACCAGATGGCCTCACAGAGAAAGTCTATAAAATATCTAACATAAAAATAATATCAATCTCACACAAAATCTTGCAGAAAATAAAAGATAATTCTTCCCAACTTTAATGAGCCCAGAATTACCTTAGTGCTAAAACCAGAAAAAGACATTACAAGAAAAGAAAACTACAGATCAATAACCCTCACGAGCATAGATTTAAAAATCTTTAACCAAAATATTAGTAAATCAAATCCAGCTATACATAAAAAGGACAATATAACATGACTAAGTGGAGGTTATCACAGGAACTCTCAGTTGGCTTAACATTGAAAATTATCAATAAAATTCACCATATTAACAAACTAAAAAGGGAAAACTATATGATCATCTCAGTTGATACAGAAAAAAACCCTTTGACCAAGTTAAATATCCTTTCATGATAATAACTCTCAGTGCACGGGAATAGAAAGGCACTTATTCAGCCAGATTAGGGGCATTTATGAAAAACATCATTCTGAATGGTGAAAGACTGAATACTTTGCCTCTAAAATTGGGAAAGACAAGGATATCTGCTTTTACCACTTTTGTCTTATATTGTACGGGAGGTTCTAGCCAGTGCAATAAGGTAAGAAAAAGATATAGAAAGCATAAAGATTGGAAAGGAAGAAGAAAATAGTCTTTAACTATAGACAACATTGTTGTCTGTGCAGAAAATCTGATGCCATCTACAAAAAATGCTACTGGAACTAATAAGTGAGTTTATTAAGATTTCAGGATACAAGGTCAACATATAAAAATCAATGGTCTTTCTATAATACTATCAAAAGTAGGAAACTCAAATTAAGCAAACAATATTACTTATAGCATGCAAAAACTTATTATTTTTTTTGGGACAGTCTCGCTTTGTTGCCCAGGCTAGAGTGAGTGCCGTGGCATCAGCCTAGCTCACAGCAACCTCAAACTCCTGGGCTCAAGCAATCCTTCTGCCTCAGCCTCCTGAGTAACTGGGACTACAGGCATGTGCCACCATGCCCGACTAATTTTTTCTATATATATTATTGGCCAATTAATTTCTATTTATAGTAGAGACGGATCTCATTCTTGCTCAGGCTGGTTTCGAACTCCTGACCTGGAGCAATCTGCCTGACTTGGCCTCCCAGAGTGCTAGGATTATAGGCGTGAGCCACTGTGCCCGGCAGAAAAACTTATAATACTTAGAATAAATTTAACAAAATATGTGCAGAATTTGTATCCTAAAAACTACACAACACTGATTAGAGAATTTTTTTAAAGACCTAAATAATGGAGTTATATACCATGGTTGTAGATCCAAAGACTCAATATCATTAAGATGTTCATGATCTTCAAATTAATTTTAATTCTATTTAAAATTGCAAGAAGCATTTTTGTACAAATTGACAAGCTGACTCTAAAATGCACATGGTAAAGAAAGGATCAAGAATGGCCAAAACAATTTTGAAAGATAAGATCAAAGTTGGAGGACTTAACTCAATTTCAAGACTTACTATAAATCTATAGTAATTAAGAGAGTGTGGTAATGGCATTAGGATAGACACACGTACATCAGCAGAACAGAATAAAGTATCTAGAAATAGATCTACACATTTTGGTCAATTGCCTTTTTTTTCTAAAAAATTCTAAAATTCCTGGTGGACAACACAAAAAATCTTTTTTTGTGTGTGACCTTGGAATAGGCAAAGATTTCTTAGAACACAAAAATCATGAACCATTAAAAAAATTGATAAAAATGAACTTCATCACATTAAAAAACTTCTGCCCTTCAAAAACTGAAAAGGTGAACAAAGTATACCAGCAGAAAATATTCACAATACATCTACTTGACAAATGACTTATATCCAAAATATACGAAGAACATTTATAACTCACTATTAAGAAGTTAAACTACCAAAAATTTTTTAAAGGGGGCAAAATATTTAAAAAGATACTTCATGAAAGAGGATAGACAAATGAAAAATAAGTCCATGAAAAATGCACAGTAGTCATCAGGGAAATGCAAATTAAAACCACAGTGAGATACCATTACACTTCAGTTAGAAAGAATTCTCATTGAATTTAAAAGACTGAAAATACTACATGTTGGCAAGGAGGTGGAACTTCTGGGAATGTACAATATTGCAGCCACTTTGAAAACTAGGGTGGCAGTTTCTTATAAAGTTATACATACATTTACCATACAAACTGTGAACTACTCATTTTATAAATGAAGAAATAAAACTCAGACAAGTCATCTCCTATGGTCACATAACTATCATTTGATTGACTGTTTTAATCTGTCATAAGACCAGATGTGTCAGACTGAGGGGTGCTTAGCCAGCTATGAAGAGAATCCTGCCTGGTCAGCTGGCTTGGAAGACAGCAAGGCTCACAAGTGACACGCTACCCCATATGCATGCCTACTGAGATTTTTTCTTAGTTTCTCCATTCTTCACTGAACAATGCTACCTCCCCCTGTCTTTGTGGTTTTGTAGATTCAAAATATATCCCAAGAGATTTATGAGTCCTTTTTCCTCCATGTGCCTAGCAGTATGCCAGATGCTGGGAACACATGATAGAACAAGATATGAATGGTTCCTGCTCTCACAGGACTGGACAGACATCGTAATAATAGTTAAGATTATTTCCTCATTAGGGATGTAAAGGTATTATGAAAAATGAATGGTCTCTTTTGTACTGCCATGAGATGAAGAGAGGAAGGCAGGGAATGATTTCTTTTCATAGCTAATTAGTTCATTACATTTCTCTCCCGCCTCCAATCCACAATATGTATGTTAGTACTTGGAATTGTAAAACGGACATCTATCCAGTCGAAAATAGCCATTGGATTTTCATAGACCATCAGTCTTTTTTTAGAGTCTGGCTTTTAGGAGGCATAAAAGTATTTCATAATTGAGTTTTGATTATATTTCATAATTGATTTTTGATTGTGACAGCATTGCAAACATTGAGGGTGAAAGGCAGCTCATACTGCTAAGCTCCGTTTTATGAACAGTCTATCTTCTGAATTCCTGTTCACCCTCAAGTTACTCTTTTGAAATGATCTCTCTCATTCTATCTCTATCTCTCCTGATGTTTTAAGACTAGAGAAAAGCTAGTATAATTGGACTAGAATATCTACTGTGGAAGAAGGATATGCACATTTATAAGATGATCAACAACAACCACAATAAACACATGATGAATACTTTGTTTCCTAACCCTTTCAAAATTACTTTATTTGTGAGGTTTCTGAAGCCTGCTTATGACAAACTGTAACATAAAGTTACACTTAAAACATAAAGAGTATGGAAGGAAATGATAGGGAATATATAGTCGGAAAGTTTCACTGCTTCTTTAAAGTACTTTTTCCTCTTAGTATTTAATTATGAAAAATTTCAGTCATATAGTAAAGTTGAATTTTTCAGTAAACACCAACATGCCCAACTCTAAATCCTACTTGTTACCAAACTTGCTTTAGTATACTTGCTTTATCTATCTGTCTCTCTAATCCATTTTGGGTTTTGGTGCATTTCAAATTAAATTGTTTAAAAACACTTTTGATATAATTTCATAGGAGGAACTAGAGAACTTTTACTTTAGTCCACTTTGTTAAATATCTTTATTGCTTCAGATTCACTTTCTATTCTTCCACTCCTTGCTCTGTGTTGTGGAAGTTGACCACATAAATGGATTTCCCTAACCTCTGGCCACTGGCTCCATGCAGTCTATAGAGAACACCTGCAGGAAATCAGAGGGAGTAAAGAGACTAAAGTTGGGTTATTTATCTCCCAGTCTTCCTTCTTTCGTGGTTGCTTATGACTTGCTATATCCTTCAACCAGAAGGCCTTGACTCCTGGCAGTTCATTGGTTTTCTTGATAACATCTTTATAAAAAGTTCTTTTATTAAACTCTCCTCAAATTATCCTAATTACAGTGTGTCATCTGTTTCCTGCTGGGACCCTGACTAGTACAATTATGATGAGGCTAAATTGACTTCAGAAGATTTCAAGCTTGCTTTGGGCTGAACTGGGCCTAAAACGAAGGCCAAAAACCCCCAAAACCAAAAACCTTCCAAAACAACAAGGCAAAAAAAAGAATAAAACCAAGAAAAGGGGAAAAAAATCTCCCTGGGTAGATGTATAGCAAGAGGATCAGTAGACTAACCCTGGGAGAATAAGTCACTAGTCCTTTGGTTGCCAGTGACAGAAGTCAAACTGAAGAAGTTTGGACAAATAAATGAACCTTATTGGCTTCTAAAACAACCACAGGAAGGCAAGAGGTCAAGGGATAGGATGATGGGAAAGACCACTCACTGGGTTTAATGACTAGGATGGTGGTTTTTAATCTTTTGAGAATTTGATGAACTCTCTCACTCGAAAAAAAAAAATTATATACCAAACACTTAAAATTTTGGTTGCGTTTAGGGTTTTATAGTCTCCAACTTAATTTTGGGATGGAGACACAATTTTTGTAGAGCTGAAGTGAGACTTGTGAACAGAAGTGAGACTTCATGGCAGGAGAAGGTGGAACAGAAGTCCTAGATTCCAAACTGTTGAGTTAATGATTATTAAAGTTCTCCGAATTAATAGAATTTAGAAGCAACTTAAAGATCAAGGTCCAGGACAAGATTAGCAAAAACTATAATGTTCATGCTCCATGGACATTGACAACTGTCTGCAAAATCCCCCAATATTAAGAAATCAATACACTTTCAAATAACCCACAAGTCAAAAAAGAAACCTCAAGGCAATTAGAAAGTATTTTTAATTGAATGAAAATAAATCATAACATCAAAATTTTCAGAATGCAGCTAAAGCAGTGCTCACAGGGAAATTTATTGCTTTAAATAGTTATAATGTTAATAGAAAGAAAGAAACTCTAAAATCAGTGATCTAAGTTTCCACTTTAAGAAACTTGGAAAAGAAGAGCAAAACCCCAAAAGAAGTAGAAATGAGGATGTAATGAAGAGTGGATATCAATGAAATAGAAAGAAAGCATGATATAAAAATGTCAGTGAAACTCAATGCTGGTTCATTGACAAGATCAATACAAGTCATAAATCTTTAGCTAGATTGATCAAAGAAAAAGAGAAGTTATAAGTTACCAATATTAGATATGAAGATAGGAACAGAACTACAAATCCTACCAAAATTAACAGGTTCATAGGATTATATTATTAACAACTTTATGTCAGCAAATCTAAATATAACCATGTAGATGAAATGGTAAAATGGAAAAATTCCTTGACAGACACAAATTACCACAACTCTCTTGAAAGAAATAGAAAACTGGAATAGCTCTATATCAAATAAACAAATTGAGCTCATGATTCAAAACATTTCCACAAAGAAAACTCAGACCAGATGGCCTCACAGAGAAAGTCTATAAAATATCTAACATAAAAATAATATCAATCTCACACAAAATCTTGCAGAAAATAAAAGATAATTTCCCAACTTTAATGAGCCCAGAATTACTTAGTGCTAAAACCAGAAAAAGACATTACAAGAAAAGAAAACTACAGATCAATAACCCTCACGAGCATAGATTTAAAAATCTTTAACAAAAATATTAGTAAATCAAATCCAGCTATACATAAAAAGGACAATATAACATGACTAAGTGGAGGTTATCACAGGAACTCTCAGTTGCTTAACATTTGAAAATTATCAATAAAATCACCATATTAAACAAACTAAAAAGGGAAAACTATATGAATCATCTCAGTTGATACAGAAAAAAAACCTTTGACCAAGTTAAATATCCTTCATGATAATACTCTCAGTGCACTGGGAATAAAAGGGAACTTATTCAGCCAGATTAGGGGCATTTATGAAAACATCATTCTGAATGGTGAAAGACTGAAACTTTGCCTCTAAAATTGGGAAAGACAAGGATATCTGCTTTTACCACTTTTTGTCTTATATTGTAGGGAGGTTCTAGCCAGTGCAATAAGGTAAGAAAAGATATAGAAACATAAAGATTGGAAGGAGAAGAATGTTTAACTATAGACAACGTTGTTGTCTGTGCAGAAATCTGAGCCATCTACAAAAAGTGCTACTGGACAAATAAGTGAGTTTATTAAGGTTTCAGGATACAAGGTCAACATATAAAAATCAATGGTCTTTCTATAATACTAATAAAAGAGAAACTCAAATTAAGCAAACAATATTACTTATAGCATGCAAAAACTTATTATTTTTTTTTTTGGACAGTCTCGCTTTGTTGCCCAGGCTAGAGTGAGTGCCGTGGCATCAGCCTAGCTCATGGCAACCTCAAACTCCTGGGCTCAAGCAATCCTTCTGCCTCAGCCTCCTGAGTAACTGGGACTACAGGCATGTGCCACCATGCCCGACTAATTTTTTCTATATAATTATTGGCCAATTAATTTCTATTTATAGTAAGACGGATCTCATTCTTGCTCAGGCTGGTTTCGACTCCCTGACCTGGAGCAATCTGCCTGACTTGGCCTCCCAGAGTGCTAGGATTATAGGCGTGAGCCACTGATCCTGGCAGAAAACTTATAATACTTAGAATAAATTTAACAAAATATGTGCAGAATTGTATCTAAAAACTACACAACACTGATTAGAGATTTTTTTTTTTTATAATTAAGAGATGAAGTCGAACGAAATTTTTTAAAGACCTAAATAAGGAGTTATATACCATGGTTGTAGATCCAAAGACTCAATATCATTAAGATGTTCATGATCTTCAAATTAATTTAATTCTATTAAAATTGCAAGAAGCATTTTTGTACAAATTGACAAGCTGACTCTAAAATGCACATGGTAAAGAAGGATCAAGAATGGCCAAAACAATTTGAAAGATAAGATCAAAGTTGGAGGACTTAACTCAATTTCAAGACTTACTATAAATCTACAGTAATTAAGAGAGTGTGGTAATGGCATTAGGATAGACACATGTACATCAGCAGAACAGAATAAAGATCTAGAATAGATCTACACATTTTGGTCATTGCCTTTTTTTCTAAAAATTCTAAAATTCCTGGTGGACAACACAAAAAATCTTTTTTGTGTTGACCTTGGAATAGGCAAAATTCTTAGAACACAAAAATCATGAACCATTAAAAAATTGATAAAATGAACTTCATCACATTAAAAACTTCTGCCTTCAAAACTGAAAAGGTGAACAAAGTATACCAGCAGAAAATATTCCATAATACATCTACTTGACAAATGACTTATATCCAAAATATACGAAGAACATTTATAACTCACTATTAAGAAGTTAACTACCAAAAATTTTTAAAGGGGAAAAAATATTTAAAAAGATACTTCATGAAAGAGGATAGACAAATGAAAAATAAGTCCATGAAAAATGCACAGTAGTCATCAGGGAATTTCATTACTATAAGTATGCATATACATTGAAAAACCTAGAAGAATGGAAATAAGAGGAAATAAAATACTGCATTTCAATCACCTACAAAAAAAATCACTTTTTCACATTTTAGTGTTTTCTCTTCCTTTTTTTTATGCACAGCTTTTTTTTTTTAAAAAACACCTATTATGATATTGAATATATAATTCTTTTTGATTAAGACTATTATAGCTATTTTTTATATTATAATAAAGTCTGCACAAACCTTTTAAAAAATGGCTTTAAAGGTACTCTTTTAAGTAAATATGCCATAGGTCATTTAACTTCGTGAATATTGTTTGTTTAATCATTCTGGAAGTTAGGAGGAGATAGCAGGATTAGGTTAGTTGGGTGGACTGGAAGCAGGAAGAAGGACAGAAGTCTAGATTCCAAACTGTTGAGTTAATGATTATTAAAGTTCTCCGAATTAATAGAAATTTAGAAGCAACTTAAAGATCAAGGTCAGGACAAGATTAG